GTAAAAGGAAGGAATTATTTTACTGGTGCTCTCCAATTCCAGTACTTGTGGAGGCATATCAGCTTTCCAAGGTATATCTCTAAGCAATAGAGGAAGGAGCAGGGAGGGAACCACTGCTCTCCCAGCTTCCCAACACAGTGGGTCATTGCCGCTAACCGAGAGGGGAGGCATGAGGGGCTTGCAATGGTGAGTAGCAGTGGAGCCAATCCAACACTGCCAGGTGCCACACCAAGCTCCCCTCTTGGAAAGTGACAGCCACCCATTGTACCTAGAAGCCAGGAGAGCAATAGTGCAGCAGCCCACCAGCCACTTCTGCCTCTAAGCTAAAGGAAGAGGGAGAGGGAACTCTCTTTGGTAATTGAAAGGCCTACCATGCAATCAGAGGGAGTGATTTTACATGGAAAGTGAACCCTTTTTAGTTCTTTCCACTCCAAAATCAACTTTAAAGGTTCCTGGCACAAAACTCCCTGGACCTATGTCTCTGCAGTGTGGCAAATTCTTACCCAGAAGCTAATTCCTCATGTCTGCAATTTTCAGGCCACTTGGGCCACAAAATACAAAGGTAGACTGATTCCTTGTGTACACACCTTGAAAAACAGTGATCCGTCTGAAATTTAGCAGGTATCATTATCTCAGAGGGGGAAACTCCGTCTGCAAATTTCATCCAATTCTGGCCGAAAATAGTAATAAACAACTTATTGGGGGGGGGATGATGTTCCTGAGTTCTGCAAAAACAAACCTGCCTACCCCCCACCCCACCTTTAATCCTATGGTGCTGTGTCATAAATGTCCCTTCCTCACTTGCAACATTTTGTTTTAAGCCACAAACATTTTTTTTCTGGAGGGTGGTAGTGCTGGGTGCAACCGATGCCATCTTGTACAGAGAGGGAGGGGTGTGTGGCAAAAGGCATGTGGGGAGGGGGAGGGGAGGGTGCTGCTTGTGCGCACTGTCATCTGATCAGCATCTCAAACGTACACACCTGGACTTTACTATGAATTCAACTAGGCTACAGTCAGATCAATGATGGCTTGGAGGAAGACACACCAAATAACAGTATTTCATAAGAAACTACAGAGTACCTTGGGATTGTTGGCTAAAGTCATGTGCACATGGATTCAAAAACCAGCAATGGACAACGGCGGCAAGAGTCTTAACAGCACAAGGATGGAAGAATGAGGAAATCCCAACGAAAGAACTGTGGCAAGAAAAACTGATGGACTATGCAGAATTGGCAAAACTGACACACAAACTACGTGACAAGGATAACTGTGATTTTAAAAATGAATGGGAACCTTTTACGAAATACTTGAAGAAGCAACAAAATGAACTGGACTCTTTGGCAGGTTTTGAATAAACATTCACAAACTTTATTGTAATATATAGATAGATAATTTGAGGATCTTTACAATTTTACAACATGCAGACAGAAAGATGTGTTGAGAAACCAGAGAAAGGAGCTGAGGGAAGTCCGGGGGTGGGGTGGGAGGTTGGGTTTTCTGTTTAGGGGGGAGGGGGAAATGGAGGGGGGGAAACAATGTGGATTATGTATTTTTGTTCAAAATTATTGTGTTGAAATATCTAATAAAATTTTTTAAAAAAAAACAAAAACCAGCAATGGAAGTGTACTAGAGCCAAAAAGTAAGCAGGCACAGCCAGCCATTGGTGTGGACAGGAAAAACTGCACTTAGTCTCCCATATACAGTTACAACTGACTGCAGGTGCAGATGCTCTGCCTCAAATTCACTTTTTAAAAAACACACAGATCAAACAGCAACTACACTGCTATGAAAAGTAAGTGTGGAAAGGCCCTCACTTCTGTCAAAAGGAAAAACGGAGCAGATTCCAAAACTGCAACAACTACCCTTCTGAATTTTGGAAGGATTCATGCCCTCAGAAGGGGCAACCGTTCTTGTAAACTTCAACTAATTCTGACAACAGATAAATTAAGTTATATACATCCTCCAATTGGGTCAGAGCTAGATCAGGCTGTTTTATAACCACCAAATTAGGGTCCAAACTGAGTCTTGTAATCAGTGCATGCATCTAGTTATAAGGTGGTTAGTTTGCTGCACTGGGCTAGGGGATGCCTTTCTTTGCGCACACAGAGGCAAATTGAGATTAAAAAGACCTAAGAACTCTGTTATGTCCTGTTATCAGGGGATATAAGACTAAGTCTGTTTTTCCAAAGGGTTGTATGCTACCTAGCACACTCTTAGCTGTTCATCCTGACAAGAGTTTAAGAAAGAGCTGGAGATTAAAATACTTTAGGTGAATTCAAATATCAGAAATAATGTTTATAACACCTGCTGATATTGTTGGCTGGTGCAATTCTTTGGTTTCTCAGTTGCTGTACAAAAGCCTGCAAGCCTAACTGCTTTCTGCCACTTTCTGAGGCAACTGTAAAACAATTGGCCTTCACAGCAATACTGTCTCAGACAATGGAAGCAGAACATAAACATCATAGCTAGCAGTCATTGATAGCCTTACCCTCCATTAATTTGCCTAATCCTCTTTTGAAGCCAGCCAAGTTGGTGGCCATCGCTGGTTCCTGCAGGAGCAAATTCCATTGCTGAACTATGTGTTGTGTGACAGCGTGAAGAAGTATTTTATTTTGATTCTCCTGAATCTTCCAGTTTTCGGCTCAACTGGATGTCCCTGAGTCCCTTATGAGCAAGGAAGAAAAGCTTTTCTCTATTCACTTTCTCCACACCACACATAATTGCATACACCTCAATCGTGTTCCCGCTTTACTTGCCCTTAATGTTGTAACTTGCCTCCTTGCCCTTTTCTGACTCCTTCCCACTTCCACAATATCCTTTTCGCAATGAGGTGACCAGAACTATAGCGCAGTATTGCATGTGCAACCGCACAACAGATTTGTATAAAGACATTATAATATTGGCAGTTTTATTTCCAATTCCTTTCATAATGATCCGTAGCACACAATTGCCTTTCTCCATTGCTGCCACATACTGGGTCAATATCTTTATCGAGCTATCCGCTACAATCCCAAGGTTTCATTCCTGGTCAATTACCCCCAGTTCAGTCCGCATGAGTGTATATGCGTATGGAGAGGGGAATGTTTTGCCTCGACACAAATCACTTTACACTTGTTTCTACTGAATCACATTTGCCATTTCACTGCTCAGTTTTATCCTGTATATATCATATGCAAATCCGGCTATCTCACTGCTCACCCCTAACCCTGTTGCACGGAATGGAAAACTGACTTCAATGGAGATGCAGAAATCATGTAATGCGATGTATAAGATGGTGAACTGTTACGACCTGGGAAATCCATAATTCAAATCACATCTTGGCCATTAACCAGCTAGGTAGCTTTATGCAAGCACTGTTATGAGAACTGATGGGGCATAGTGGCTAGAAGACTGCACTGCTAATCTGCAAATGTGTGGTCCATGAACTTGCAAGATGGCCTCAGGCAAACCTCAGTCACACCACCCTCACCTGCAATACAATAATATTCACCTCACTGCTAAGGATTGTGTAAGGATTACAACCAGATAATGCATGTGAAGTGCTTTGAACACTGGAAAGTTCAAGTGCAATATAGAAGTATTCAGCACTATTCTTTCGGCCGCAGACCCCAGTCTGCAAAATGGGGAAAGTAATAGTGGCCTACTTTACAGGGCTATTGAAACCTTGATGTGCTTTGAATACTTGGATGTTCTATGTAAGTGCTATTCTTGTAAATGAAAAGAAGTGTGCGCAATTAGAGTGCTGCATAATGACAGTAAGAACATAGTTTTTAAACACAGTCTTTCTTTTTCCTCAGAACCTCCCTTAATAGCTTATATGGTTGCTTTTGTCATAGTTATGGATTTTACAGCCATTCTATAACTCCACAATTTCCAATGGAAAACTGCGTTCCTAGAGCCATTCCACAAACCCATTATGGATCATTCTTAAATCACTTCAGATTTCTCCCCTTTGGACTCATTTGCAGCATGCGTGCATTATTATTGGTTCCTCCCTCTGCATTATAGAGAACCAGTATGTCCTACCTTTCCACCCCTACATTCCAAAAAAGTTCTGTTTGTTCCGCCCTTGGGGAAAACTTAAGGCATTACACACCATATTTAGGATCTTGTCGCCTACTGCACCTGTCAGCACTTCTCAAAAGGGAAGAGCCTATGCACCTCAGAGCATATCAATTCAGACCCTCATTTGCCCCCTGCCAGTGAACCTGGCAGTGCCAGAAAATATTGCCATATGTCCCATATTTTCAACTACGCAACATCTGGTATCATCACATATCAATCAACCTGAAAGAACTGGTCCCCACCTTAACTTTCACCTTCAGGTTTTCACAAGTACAGTCATTTAAGTGAGGCTGTCCATCCTTCTACTATAAACACAATTAGAAGGGATTAAAGCAGGCTCTCTAAGGGCACTTTCACACATGACGCATACAGACATGTATGTCTTCCTTGGAAGTAAGCCACTCTGCATTCAACAGACTTGCTTCCAGGTAAGTGTGTAAAGTCTTACATTGTTGGTTATTTATTGCAGTTTTTGTGCCGTGATTTGGAAGCCGGCTAGGGTGTGCATTTGGCTTTCACGTTTCTCAGTCCAGTTTTCTACCTCAAATGAAAGGCATCCACAAGTATGGACAGGGAGCTTTTAAGGGCATGATGTGTGAGAAGAACCCAAAGAGCGACAAAATGTATATGGAGAATGTTTTAGGTGCAACCAGCTTTTGTTTTTTCTTACAATAAAGAGTGGGCTAACAAAACAAAAACAAAACGCTTTAAATAGACATTTAAAAACCCAAGTGAAGTCATCGGGAGTAGATGATGCCTCACTTTGAGACAGCACCACATCTGGGCAGCACGCAAAGGCTGCTCATTGCACAGAACCGTCGCCAAGGTAGTCCAGCAACATCCCACCGCACTCCTCAACCCCCCCCCACGGGCCAGGTGGGCGCCCCTCCCTCCCAGGTGGCCCTGGGCGCGCGTCCCGCGGCGCTGCTACTCACACGAAGGCGTGGTAGATGAACGCCCAGCCGCGGGGTCTCTCGAGCACGTTGTAGAGATAGTTTTGCAGCCTCCTGTACTTGGCGTTCCGCCGGTAGCTCGGGTTGCTGCTGTAGGAGAGCGGCTTCCCCAGCAGGCTCATCCGGGCTCCTCGTTTCTTGCCTCGCCGGCTCTCCCGCAAGCCGCCGAGCCCGCCGCCGGTGCCCAAGAGGAGCAAGCCGTCCCCTCGCGAGGGCGCCGAGTTCAGGAGCACCCTGCTCCGGCCAGACTCCACATCCTTCATGCCGCTGCCCCCGCCGCCGCGACACCCCGCCGTGCTGCTCTTCAGCCAGAGCCCGCCGGCGGAGCCGCCCTCGTCGTCTCCTCGGCTGTGGCTGCGGGGCATGGCATCACGGCGGGGGCAAAAGCGGCAGCAGCGGCGGCGCCGGCAGCAGCGGGTCCCCGCTTGGCTGGAGGGCGGAGGCGAGCAGCTTCCTCCGGGCGCTGAGGAGGCGACGAGGAGAAGGCGGGAGAAAAGAGACTGGGGCGGCTGCAGGAGCCTCGCGCTCTCCCCACAGCTCCCGCCGAGCAGGAAGGGGGCAGGCAGGGCCGTGGGGGCCACCTTGCCACACGCAGCACGCAGCAGGCAGCGCCGAGGCTTCTGAGGCGGGAGAAGAGAAAAAGCGACGGCTCCTCTCAGGCGCGTCCGCTCTCTTCAAGCTCCGGCTCGCTCGCCTCCTTTCCCCCCGCGAACCGCTTCGCCGCCTCAGATGCCGCCTTTAAAACAAAAACAAAACAAAAAAACACCGTATGAAACTTTGGAGTTAAAAGCGAGCGCCTGCGAAGCAACAGAGCGCCGCTCGGCTTTCCGAGCGAGAGAGAGAGGGGCGCATCCACAAATAACACGAGGAGAGCCAGTTGCTGCTTTGGAGGAGGAGGGAGGGAGAGGAAGGGCGGCGGGGGGGGCGAGTCCAGAGAAAGAGAGAGAGAAGTCTGCCGCTGTCTTGATTTATAGAAATTGGAAAAGGACGGCCAGGAGGGGGGGAAGCCGGGCAGCCTCGGAGAGAGGCAAACTCATGCCCAAGGCTCCTGCTGCCACCTTGGCTTGTCAGCGCACTTTGCAGGGCGAGCGCTTCTCCGGCGGGCGAGCGGGCGGGCGGGCGGGCAAGCAAGCTGTTGCTCTCCGTCCAAGAGAAAGTCGCCGCCACATAAAACGGACGAGAGCAGAAAGTCGGAGGAGGCACCCAGACGCGCCCTCGGCTTCCTGGGCCAAATGAGCAGCAGCAGGGTGTGTGAGAGAGGGGGGCACAGCTCACGGCAATTACGCCATAAGGAAATCTCCGCCGGAAAGTCATAAAGCGGCCTCAAGAGTCAAGCCCAGTAGCAGCAGCTCCTGGCGGCGGCGGCGGCGGCGGCTCCCTCGAAAGGCTCCATACTCTGTACATGCATCTGTTAAGTTTTAACGCCTCTCTCTCTCTGGCGGGTTTTCGTTGCTGCTCGCCCTTGTTAAGAGCGCCGCGCAATAAGCGCCCCTTCAGCTTGGCATGCTTCGCTTAGCTCCCTCGAGACGAGGAAGCAGCGCCGTCTTGGGAAGAGAGCGGAGCCGGCGTCGACCTGAGGGCAAAATAAATCCACCAGGGCGGGGAAGGCGGGGAAGGGACGCCCTCCTTCGGCGCTTGCGAACTCGCGCCAAGTTGCAGGAAGTTTGGCCGGCCTGACATGCAAAGCGAAGTTGCGGGTGGAAGAGGGCCCGCGGGGCCGCCCGACGTGAGCAGGAGGCAGGGAGGGGGGCGGGAAAGCTTCCGCTGCTAAGAAGGCAGCGGCTGCCTTTCTTTGGCTCCCTTCGCGGAGCAGCGCCCGCGAGAAGCGCCGCCGCTTCTTCCCTCGCTCATTGTGGCGCGCATTTAAGGAGCAGGTGGCGACTCCTCGGGGCTGGAGGAGGCATCCCGCCCCTTCCCCGAGATCCCCTCCAATGCCAGAAGAAACACCACGTCCCCAGGGCCGCCTTCTCTCTCTCTCGCTCTCAGGCGACGCGACGCGCGGTTGGCGGGAGACGCGCTCCCACGTGACGCCCAGGAACTTAGGCGCGAGGCGGCCGTGGCCAAGTTGGGTCGCTCCCTCGCCTCAGTTCCTCAGAGCCGTGAGGAAGGGAAGGTGGCCTGGGAGGAAACTGCGTGGGTCGTTTAAATCCAGAGAAGTACAGGTGTGGCACAAGTAAAATATCATGAAACCCCAGTTGCAATTCAAGGTTCTCGACGTTTACATCGTGTTTCTGCCCCTTCTTTTCCAGCACTTGCCATTCTCTAGCAAAAATGGGAATTCTTCCTGTAGCTTCTTTTTCTTTTTTCTCTGTTCTTTTTTGCATACTGCTGCTGAAGCTCAGCGTGACATTCATCTCCAATGTCAACTGCACCCAGCCTTGCCATCTACACGCAGGCAAGCTAGCTTTGAAAAGAAAACAGGTCAGGAAATGATGCTGTGACAACAAGTGTAGCATGGAGGAAGAATGATGAGCCTCTCTGAACGTCTAACCTCCGTCATCGCTGCCACTCTCTCAGAGTAAGATCCTTCGCTCTTCAGTGTTCACCTTTGAGCGCTGTTTGCTTTATTGTCAAGATCATAAAAAGTAAACTGGAAAAGGGCTGGGACCCATTGAGAAAGCTCTTGATGTCCATTTTTAAATTTAACTTGTTGGAGTGCTTTGTTTTGTTTTGTTGGCTTTTGCAAAGAATGCATTAAGCCATATTAGCTGCCTCATCTGTATCTGTAATACATTGGTTTGTACTGTTTGGTTCCATTCCTGTGTGGAAGGAAAAGTGTCATATTTTTAATGCACTTAGGGTATGTTCACATTACTGCTTACTCTGCATCCAGTGTTCTCCAGCTGCTTGTTTTGAAGTCTATTGATAAATACTGCTGTTTGATGTGTTTTTCCTCAAACTGACTAGAAAACCTAAGCTACATTCATTTTTCACTTCAGAATGGTGATGGACATTTGAGACAGCTGTGCATGTGTGAATGGCAGCTTCATTAATAGGAGCTGTGCGGAGGGGGATCCAAAATTTCCTCAGATTACCATTTGTTCATATCTATCGCTAAAAGCAGGTTTTCCTTTGGAAAGGAGTGGAACAAGGGGGAAACCGCTCGGACCCATGATTTCTAGGCATGGCACAAGCTGATGTGTGGATGTACCATTAGGTGAGAGGCTGGCAGAGGTCAGACTGAGGTTGGTGGGGCAGTTGACAAGCAATGCCACCCACTGGACTGTTTGGGAGTAAGAAAGCAGGCAGGTGATGTCTGGCGAAAAGTAGACTGAGATCAGTGTGGAGTGTCCCATTCACCCTAACAGACCAGCCAGCCTCCATTGGATGCTGATGGAGGGGCAGGTGAAAGCTCTTGCCAAGTAATCGTTCATTCTTTACATGAACACCTACACACTGCATGCACACGAGTGCATAATATGACCTCATAATATCCACTGAACCAGATCTGAGTTTGCAGGGTGGGGAGAGGTCAAGGGAAACAAAGGGCACAGGAAGTTTAGAAGGGGTCCCAACCTTCAAAAGTTTGAGAAACACTTGTTTATGTTAGGTCACTTCCTAGAGCTCTGGTTCAGATTTGGGCTATGGTTCAAATGGAACAGCACAATCTGTAATTAAGTGAGGGGGTGGGAATATACAATTGGTGGAAAACTCGATCCCAAAATCCCCCCAAAATTTCCTTTTAAGAGCAAGTATTTTTCAGAGCTCTCACTTCCCCATTCTAATGAGGGAGTGAGAGTTCTAAAGCATGTCCATTTGAAGTGAAGCTGTACCAAAGAGTGAATTAGAATGCAGACAGAGTCTTTCCAGACAATTATTTCTGTCCAGTATTACATAGCTCTCAGCTGTCACAAGAGATGGAGACATCTTTCCTCAAGGTAGTACTGCTTCTATTGCAGGCAAATCACTTATTTCTCAGCTGTCAAAAAACAATATTTTGACTGGGAAAATGCAATATTCCTCACTGCCAGTTTACACTTACGTAACAGGTGGGGCAAATAATGCAATGTAATTGTGCAAGTTTTTGAAATGACAGTAGATAGTGACCTATGACATCTTTGGTGACAAGCGACACAACTCAGCCCTTTCCATCATAACTTTGTGAAATGTGTTGAACATACGCATATTAAATTTTTCAGAGGCTGAGTGTGCTGCCTTCTGTTGCATTCCAGGAGCTTTCATGTAGTCCTTAAAACATTTTGTTGTTGTTTTATGCTAACAGCATGTGTTGGGGATGCAAAGTAATAAATGCAGACATGGCCCACATCTTTTGGGGTTGCCCTAAAGAAAATTGTGGTAAGAGATAATAAATGAAATTGAAATAATAACAGGTTACAAGCTGCCATTAGATAAATTGTTCATATTGTTTGGATTTGTAAACGATTCGGTGCATCTTTCTAACAGCTGCCAGAATGTTGATTTTTGCAAACAGGAAGAAAATAAGGACTCCCACTGTTTAGATTTGGGATATGGTGTACATGATTAAATTAACAAACCTAATGAAGGATAGGGAGTATAGCCAATGAAGCAACCTTTTTTAAAAAGAGGGGTTGTTATGTAGTGGAGTGATAAAACTGAGGAAAATGCATCACCTTATACATCATTGGGTTCATTGTAACATATATCAATCTGCTTTTGTTTGTACTACCTTGTATTTTGTATGCTGCTGTTTTATAAACAAAATGAAATGAAACCTTTTGTTTAAAGCAGACATAGGCAAACTTGGCCCTCCAGATCATCCCTAGCTAACAGGACCAGTGGTCAGGGTTGATGGGAGCTGTAGTCCCAAAACATATGGAGGGCCGAATTTGCCTATGCCTGGTTTAAAGGGTGAGAATAGGCAACACAACCCCATCTCCTACAGCAATACACTGCCATTTCATTCTGGAAGTAGTCCCGTCTGTCACATTTGTCATTATTTAGTTTCTGAACGTTAAGTCTTCATCCTCCTCTCCAGCAGAACTGTAAACAAGCCTGATTAAGAAAGAAAAAAGAGAGTCAAGCACCTGTACTGCTATGTGTCACTGTAGAATATTTGCCTGCAGCAAGACTACTACCCCATATTTGCTAGCTAGAGATGGGATATTAGGTTGTTGTTACTAGATCAGAGTTCTTGCAAGTGTCATTCTAAGGGGGAAAAACTTCTCTCTCTCTTTCATCATCTGATAATGCTACTCGCATTATCTTAGCCAGCATCTAGTGAGAAAGAAATCCTGAAGAGACACCCTGGGGGAGGCAGGGAGATAAAAGGTCATTTTAAGGGGTGATTTAAAAGAGCAAGAAGCACAGACTCAAGCAAGACAAGGAAGTGGTTAATAGTCAGAAGCTATGCACAGCACACAGTCGAGTGCTAGCTTTCCAGGGATAAAAATCACGTAGGTCTGAAAAAATATGGAACATTCAAAGGATTGAAATAGACCTCCCTAAAGGCTGATTGCTGGAATCCACCAGACCCTTCCCTGAGACTCACTGGGAGTCCTCAAAGAGTTACAGAGGAGAGATCTCATATTTACTGGGAAATGTTATC